CCAGCCAGCCCCGCCCCCTGGTGGGCTGAGCTGGCCACACACAAACACACACACACACACACACACACACACACACACACACACACATAAATAAATAAATAAAATTAAAAAAAAAAAAAAGGAAGTCCACAGGAGAGGCATATGAAGAAACTACAGAATGTGCACTGTGAACATATCCAGTTCTACATAAATGCCCACCAGAGGACTTGTGTGCTAATGTTACTTAGTGGACAAATACGTCAGTTCTTTCTTTGGCCAACATGGTATATTCTGGATGAACTCTTGCAAAAAGTGGCCAGCAGTGGAATGGAAGGAAGCTTATCATTGGTTCAATAATACAGACTTTCCTTCATCAAGGCTTCCCCTCTTTTGCTATTTTGAGTGCCTGAACTACTAACAACAGAGGCTAGTGCTAAGACCCTGATGTGGTGACTTAGTGCTTTTCATCACAGATGAGGTAGTGATCTGTTCTCAAGAACATGCTCATTTTCTAAGGCCACCCAAGTGTATAACCACCTCAGAAGCATCTAATTTTTCGCACCAGGCACATGAAATTCCAGGACCCTTCATTATCTTTACCCCTTCAGTCATGTTAGAAACTCCATATTGCATCATTCTCCACCACTCAAAACCACTGATACCTGCTTGACTATATAGCTCAGCCAACAAAACTGCCTGTAACACAGATCAACTTCAGAGATTTTTTTTCTGTTTTGGGTGCTTTTCAAAACTGGCAGTTTCCTTTCTTTTGTTCCCCCCAACACCCTGCCCCAGTTGAACCAAAGTAATATGCCAAAGTATAGAATACCTCCAAAACTTGAGCCAAGAATCAGTTCAAGAATCATTAGATATTGTTTTCTTAATGGCAGAAGTGCAAGATACACTTATTTTACTTATGGAAGGAATGTCCTAGTGCACCCAAACCACTAGACCCTAAAAAAATACTAGGATGTATTCACACCTTAATTTTCATAGGGTTTATCTTTGATTTTGGAGACTATTACTTATTACTAAGGTCTCCAGAATCTTCTCCACTTTTAGCTGACCAATTATCACTGACTTAAGGAACAATGTGAATATTCTCCAGAATGCCTCTTAGTGGTCATGGGCAGGCTATTAAATCTCTTATCTTGGAAGATTTTTTTTCATCAATATACTATACTACACAATTTTGTCTTCTAGCTTCATCAGGCACCCTCATAATCCAGCCCCACATAAACTTCTCAACAAGTCAGTGCATGTTGAGTGGTATTACAATTTGTTATGGGTTGAACCATGTCACTCTCAAAATTTTACTGAAGTCCTAACCCTCAGTACCTGTAAAAGTGACCTTGTTTGAAAGGGAGTCTTTGCAGATGATCAAATTAAAATGAACTCAAGAGTACATCCATATCCAGAATAATTGTATTTTTGAAAAAGTGAAAGTTTGCTCACCAATTATTATGAACAGCTAAGTTAGAAATATTATAGGCAGACCAGGTAGACTCCCCTCCCAACACACACACACACACACACACACACACACACACACACACACACACACTATAACTGTGGCTGAAGGAGCATCTGTGGGAATTTAAGCCTCAAGATAAAGAGGAAATGATCAGGCCCACATGTCTCCCCAAGGGATAAGTGGTAACACCTGGTCTAATGAAGTGTAGTTAGACATCAGACCCATCCTCTTCCTGAAATATTCTTTGTTTTTCCAGTACACTTGCTGCGCAACTTGTTTTTCCATTGGAACAGCATTATTTAAGCCACTACACTTGATTGACCTTATTGCTTCATCATAGTCTTGTTCCACACCCTGCCCACCGCTCGATTTTGCTCTACAAAACTTCCTCCGGAGAGTGGGCTCCTCAGCAATCCTCTCAAGAGCTGTCACTCTCTGTAAAATTTCCTATTCTTAACTGTCACTGTTCTTAGCATTGTTCAGTTTGGGGGAACATGAACTTGGCACATCTGATATCTAGCAGGTTGGGGTTATAATACTTTTGTATCATTCCTATATCAAGAAAGTCAGACACACTGGAAGATCATGAAAAATGTATCTGCCTATATGCCAAAGAACATCAGATTGCTAACACCCACTAGAGGATAGCAGGGGCTTGGGGATTCCACATCACAGCCTTCAGATGGAACTCCCCCTGCCCAATATCTTGATCTTAGACTTCTAGCTTCCAGAACTTGAAATAATAAATTTCTGTCAAACTGTCCAGTTTGTAGTACTGTTGCTGCAGCCTACCAACCTAATTGTTTGGAATTAGGGTTGTGAAGGGGAGCTAACACCCCTTTTCTCACTATGTTTCCACTGGAATTATGGTCAGAAATAAATACAATTTTGTGTCTAGTGTCCAGTAGGTTCATAGGTGAAACACTTACTATTCCGACTGTTAGTGTATTCCACCTTAGTTCAAGGCCCTGCTTTTCCACTGGTCTGCGATGCCGCCTGAAATCCCACCTCATCACTAGCTTTAACCGTTGCTGGATGGTTTTCCAGAAGCAGATGCTGAGATAGGAGTTTAGGGTACGAGATGTTTACCTGGTATCAACACTTGGAAAGGAAAGGGAAGAATGGAGGACTGAAGATGCAGTAGAGGTGCGGGCCCTGGCGCAAACCCTGCTGCTTACTGAGGCTTCCCGTGCCGCCGGGAAGGCTGCGCACGCGGAAGCCCCGCACACGCGCTAGGCAAGCTTCCTGAGGCCACCGCAGGGCACCGACCTCAGTGTGCCTACTCCTGCGGGACTCTGGCTCTCACTGCCGCTCGCTCCACCACGTAGTGAGCGTGTTCGCGCCTTTTCCAGTTCTGCGCGGTTAGCGAGGACACCAGAGCAGGGGGTGAAGGCCTGACAGGACACCCACACCCACTGCGCTGGCCACAACAGGCCCCAGGTAGTCGCGCACACTCAGCAAAACCGTCGGACACCTAGCTCGCCGCCGCGCGAAGTCTGCCGGGAAGGACGCTCTCCGCCTCTCGCAGGGGCAGCCGGTTTCGTGTCGCTGGGCGGGGCCGGGAGTCCGAGACCGCAGGAGGCCCGCCGCGCCTGCGCATTCCCAACCCACCCGCTCCCACCCCCGCCAACCTCGCGCGTTCTCGTGTACGGCGGACGGGAATGCGCGGAGCGGCGGCGGCGCGGAGGAGCCGCCCGGGCTCGTGTCCGCACCAGTGTGGAGCCGCCTGGGCCGCGCCCCTCCCGCCGCCGGCTGCCAGCGGGGACTTGGGTCTGCAGGCCTCGGTGAACGCGTAACCTGCGCCGCAGCCCGTGCGGCCTGGCCATGGCCGACCGCGGGTGCCTACTGGAGGCAGCGCCGCTGCCCCCCGAGGTGCGCGAGAGCCTGGCTGAGCTGGAGCTGGAGCTGTCGGAAGGTGAGCACGGGCAGCTGCGGGACCCTGGCTGGGACCTCACACCTGGGACCCTGACCTGTACCCGGGATCCCCACTCGACACGTCCCCGGGACCGCTGCAACCTTCACCCTGGACCCCCGGAACCTCCCATCCCAGATGCCAGGAACCCAGCAACCTCGTACCTAGGAGTCCCCTGCCCCTCACTTGGTACCCTGGAACACCCTCACCCAGTATCTAAGGAACCCTTCTTCCGGGATGCCTGGAACCCCGCTACTCCTAACGTAGGACCTCTCACCCCTACCCCGCCCTCACTTGAGGCTTCGGAACCCTGCACACAGGATGCCTGAACTCCCCTGGAGCCCCTGGAGTTCTTCACCCAGGACGCTGCCAGGCTCTGCAGCTCCACAGTACCAGAATCTCAGTTCCAGAGTCCCAGCCCCGCCCCCAGGCATCTGGCCTAGACCTACACTTGGCAGGGGCTGCTGTCCTCCCCAAGTACACCAATTCCAGCCCCAGTCCTGGGACTCCAGGTTCTGCACCCCTGGGCCTCAGCTGCCTTCCCTTGTGAAGTGGGGTAACAGCACTTTTGGTATTTTGAGGCTGAAATATCTGAATACTCTATACAAAGCCCGTTATACTTAGGTTAGCCCCTTTTGTGGGATTTTTAAAAGTTACACGAGCCACATAAATGGTTGTCTGACTGATGATAATAGACTCGGGTAACAGGCTTGGGAGCTGGAGGGTGGCTGGTTTGATGTTGCCTCTACTCAAAGTCTGAGTGCTGATAGCCCATTCAGCTGTTACTGGGAGAGAGTGAGTTCTTCAGTATTAGGAGGACCTAGTGGCCTTCAAAAAAAGTCAATACGTATGTTTCTTAACTTTGTTTTGGAGCTAAGTGTGTTTTCAGTTTTTCAATTCCCTATTTTCATAATTTTATTTTTGCTTTTTTTAATTTTTAAAAAATCTTTTATTTCTTTATTCATGTATTTATTTATTTGGTACAGGGCCTCACTATGCAGCTCAAACTTGTAGTGATCCTCTTGTCTCAACCTCCCTAGCGCTGGGATTACAGGCATCCGCCACCACGCCAGGTTTCAGTGACCAGCTCAGTGTGTGGGGGTTCTGGGACTGGCATGGCATGCAGTACCTGGGATCGAACCCGGGTCCTTGTGCTTGCCAGATGGGTGCTTAGACCACCAAGCTATCTCCCCAATCCTTAAGTTTTTAATTGATATGTTTTGCTGGGGCTGGTGTAAATTCTTAAAATAACACCTAATTAAATAGGCAGGCTCATATATTAGCTCACCTAATTCTTACTGACTTTAGGGAAGTAGGCTCTGCTATCTTTGTGGTGCGTCACATAGGGCCACAAAATACATATAATGCAACATCTACTTGCAACTATTTTGAACTTAGCATTCAAATTTAAAAATTTTGGGATATGTGGCACATTTTGAAAAATAGAAGCACTATTAAGATGTGTAGATTTGAGAATGCTTGATGATTAGATATTCTTGGAAAGTCTGAAATTATGAATGATTCTGTCAGGATCTGCCGTATTCATTTGTTTAAGCACTTCATCTAAGGAGAACCACATAGCTATAATTTAGCTTTTTCATATGTCAAATGTGTTTTTGCAGATTGCTTCTAATTTCTGCTTCATTATATTTATTGTTCTCTCAGTTCCTTGAGGTTCTATTTCAGTATTTGTTAGGAATTGATAGTTAACTAAATTGTTTCCTTTCCTCAAAAACTTCATTATTTGTCTGACAAAACATAAATATTTTAGTGAAAAAATATTTGTTAAGTAAACTTTCTTATTTATTGGTTCGATTTATACTTTGGACAAATATGTAGGGGCTGTATAGGTAAGAAAAGGGAGTAAGATCATGTAGCATAGAAAGGGACCTGAAAAGGTAGCTTAAGCTGAGAAAGGGAGTAGACAGCAAAGTGTTAAAGGAGAGAGACGTCAGAGTGCAATGTCAGCCAAGGAGGCAGCATCAGGCCTGCCTTCTTTCCCCCTCACTTATACTGGCCTGACACCTTTCTTTTGGCCAAAATAGGTCAGCAGTTACTTAGGCACAGTCATACTTGGTCCTGTTCCCAGGACAACTTCCACACCTGGAATGTTGGCTTTTACCATTTATTTTGTGATTGTTGTTGACATGGGACTGTCTAGTAAAAGGGACCATGTCTTAAGCAGAACTTTGGGGTCTTTGCACAGCAGCTGGCATCTGATAAGTGTTTCAGAATCTCCACTGAAATATGACATCTGAAAAATTGGGTTCAGTCAGCTATAACAGGAGGTGAACATCAGCCTTAATGGCATTTCAGTGTTCTAGAGATTCACTCAATATAGTGAATGCTTTGATATGTGCCTGGGGGTGGGCATGTGTCTGTAAGCCAAGCACTCAGGAGGCTGAAGCAGGAGGAGCGCCACCAATTCAAGGCCAGGGTGGGATACATAGTGGATTCAAGGCAAACCAGAACTACATAGCAAACCCTGTCTTAAAAACCAAGCCAAGGGCCGGGGAGATGGCTCAGTAGGATAAGTGCTTGTCTGGCCAGTGCAAGGGCCTGAGTTCAATCCTGGTTCTGAAAAAAAAAAAAAAAAATCAAAAACTCAAAACCCAAAAGATTAGTGGTTTTTTTTTTTTCGGAACCGGGGATTGAACTCAGGCCCTTGTGCTTGCCAGCAAGTACTTATTCTACTGAGCTATCTCCCCGGCCCCTGTTTTCCTAAATTAAAATTGTATTAATAAGGAATTATAGTCCTACACTGAAGTAGTAGTGTTTTGTCATTATTATTATTTTTTTAAAATTTTATTTATTTGTGTGTGTGTGTGTGTGGCCAGCTCAGCCCACCAGGGGGCGGGGCTGGCTGGCATGTGGTGCTGGGGGATTGAACTGCGGTCCCTGTGCTTTGCTAAGCTTGTTGTAAGTAGGTGCTTTAGACCACTGAGCCATCTCACCAGCCCCTTGTCATTATTATTATTATTATTATTATTACTTTTTTTTTTGCAGAACTGGGGATTGAACTCAGGCCCTTGCGCTTGCCAGGGAAGCGCTTATGCCCCTGAGCCATCTCCCCTGCCCCTGTCATCATTATTTTGATCAAGCAAAGATTGTAAAGAAGTGGGGCTGTGTCCCCTGACCTTGCCCTTCCCATATTCAAGGCTGGAGAGAAACTATGTAGTTTAGCATGAAATCTTGTCAAAAAAAAAAAAAAAAAAAAAAAGGTAGCTTTTAGGTAACTCTCACCCTTTAGAGTTGTTCCTGCTAGGTGGGTTGGAGGGGAGGGGCACCTTACCACAGGCAGTGCTGCCTTCTTGGGGACTGGTGTTGAGTGATACAGATAACCTGGGTAGTCCTGCATGCCATCCCCTCAGTGGTTTTTAAGTGAAACCATCCCCTGCCTTGTTCACAATGTACACATGTCCTTGCTCTCCGCAACCTCAATGGGTTCTCATCAACCGCTGTAACTAGGGCTGTCCCTCAGGGAAGTCTCTCATCTTAGGATGCCCTGTTTAGGGAGGATTTGCTGATTTTTTATTTTTTTCACCTGAGCCCTTCCAAGCCAGGGTCCCTACAATACCAGAATTCAGAAAAAGAAGAAACAGACCAAAGTTAAAATGTGGTCTATTTATTCTAATAACCAGAATAAAGATTTCCCAAAAGAGTAATCTTGACACAACTGTTTTTTGTTTTTGTTTTTTTTTTCCAGTACCGGGGATTGAACTCAGGACCCTGAGCTTGCCAGGCAAGCGCTTATTCTATTGAGCTATCTCCCCGGCCCCTACACAACTGTTTTCTTGTTCCCTAATTTTCTCCCTAGTTCTGCCTTTGTTGGCTTAGGATCTCCTTCAAGTTAAGATTAGGGTAACTGGTGGTGCTACACAGAATGCCACTTTCTTAGGCCTGCCCCAACCATGAACACATACAGGAAAAATTCAAACAGTGCTCTAAAAGCACTGTCAGAATATTCATGGATGAAAGGGAGATTATTAGAAGTATAGCCTTGTGATTTTTTAAATGAATTCCCAAACCTTGTGCTTTACCCTTAATTATAAAAAATAGCTCGTATATACCTCACAACTGATTTTGGCACACATGTAGCCTACAGTATCTTGAAGTTATGGGTGCTGAATGACTTTGAAAACATGGACAATGATGTAAGGTTTGTTCTTTGTTGTCGTGGCCTGCAGAGAGTCAGAGGAAATGCTCACACAATAGGCTACATTTGTCCCACTCCTGCGTCTTTATTCTGGTTATTAGACTAGACCGTGTTTTAAGTTTGGTCTGTTTCTTCTTTTTGTGCATTCTGATATTGTGGGGACTCTGGGTTGGATGGGCTTAGATGAAAAGAGGTTGAAAAGCTCAGGCTGTATATGTGTGGAAAAAGACCTTTTCAAAGAAGTATGTAATCTTTTTAGCTATCTTTCAAAAATCTGCAATGTGATTCTTAGTTTTTATTTTTATTTAATTAATTAATTTTTTGACACAGGGTTTCACTATGCAGTTCAGGCTGGCCTTGTGCTCACTTTTTGTAGCCCTCGGGTTGGTCTTGAACTTGCAGTGATCCTCCTGTCTCAACCTCCCCAGTGCTGGGATTGCAGGTGTACACCACCATACTGGGTTCTGGGATTGAACTCAGGACCTTGCACTTGCCAGGTAGGTGATTATGCCTCTGATCTGTCTCCCCAGCCCCGATTCTGAGTTTTTAAAATGACATCCTGACATTGCTTTCAGGTCAACAGACATTTGGTATATTTCCTAAATATTTTGTGAAATGTGAAATCTGATATCCAAATTCTGCTCATCTGTGAATTCCAGCCTAAACATCTTACTCTGAACCTTCCCTAATCCTCTCTGATGTGACATTTTCTTAGAATTCCACTGTCTCCTATAATTCTTTTTTTAATATATATATATATATTTTGATGGAACCGGGGTTTGAACTCAGGCCCTTGTGCTTGCCAGGGCAGTGCTTATTCCACTGAGCCATCTCCCCGGCCCTCCTA